TTAAGCGTCTCCGCTTCTGGCCTCCTCCTTACAAATTAAGTCACCATGATTTTTAATTCCTTTTTTGCTTACAGTGTAGCTTCAGGAGTGTTTATTTCTGGTTAAATCCAACTGTGGGTAGTATCTCTGTGGTTGTTTGAGACAGAAGGAAGAATTTCCTGGTGGTGCACTTAGAGTCTTCTAAAATAAACTTCCCCACTTAAGAAAAATATTTAAATCATCATCTTATCAAATGCAAAACAGGCTTTTCCTGACTGTTATGATTATGTTGAAGAAGTGTCTTTTTTTAAACCAAGGACTATGACCCCTTAGTGAATGGTGAAATCAATTCGCCTATTGGGACTGGCATTCAAAACAAATGAAATAGAACAGAAAATATTAGAGCGCATTGCATGTAGTAAGTATTCATGTGTAATTAAACATGCGTGTGCTGGGTCGAGAAGGAAAATGTATTTCTTTGTCTGGTCTGTGGTTAAAAAAAAATGTGTTTTTGAAAGCCCCCATGTTAAAGGCATTCTGATTGGTGATAGAGTATAACTTGCTGCTATTATTTGAAAGCTAAGGTCAAAGAGATACTTTCCCCCAATGCTCTGTGTTTCAAATGATCTTGATTTGCAATCATGTTTGCTTTCAGTTCATGTTTGCTAACTAGGGCCTGAAGGGAAAGGTAGGTGTGTGTGTGTGTAGGTGTGTGTGCGTGTGTGCGTGTACCATTTACCTTGTATGAAAATATCAGTCCGGGGTGCCTAGCCAGCTCAGTAGGAGGAGCATGCAACTCTTGATCTCAGGGTTTTGAGTTTGAGAGTCCCACATTGGGTGTAGAGATTACTTAAATAAATAAAACTTAAAAAAAAAAAGGAGAAAAAGAAAATATCAGTCAGGACAGGGTTTCTCAAGCTCCACACTATTGACACGTTAGGTCAGATGATTCTTTGTCGTGGGGGGGGCCCTCCTGTGTGCTCCAGGATGTTTAGTAGCATCCCTGACGTCTACCCCTTCAGTGCCAATAGCACATTTCTCCCACCACCAGTTCTGATCAGTTGGGAGACAAAATGTCCCCAGACATTGCCAAATGTCCCTGTGGCATGGGGGTGGTGGGTCGGGGGATGCCCCTGGTGGAGAGTCACTGGTCTAGACCACAGTGGCCTTGCTCCTCTATAAAACTCCTGGCTTCCCCACCCTAAGTCCAGTGCTCTAACCAGGTTCAAAGGAAGGCTTGTGCCTGGCTAGCTCAGCTCTGTCTGACAAGCTGAGTTCTGTGCCATCTGAAGCTACCATCAGTTGCAGAGTCAAGATCAGGTTCATAAGCTGGGTGTTGGGAGACCCAGGGGCATGACTCTCCCCTGCTGGGGCTCTTAGAATAACTCTGAGCAAGCCCCTTATCTCTCTGGCATCTCGGGGATACACTTGTCCTAGCCACATCAAAAGGGTGGAGGAGGACTGATTTACTAAATGGGAAAGCCCTTTTGAGAGTTAGAAGCCCTCTTCAAAGGGGAGTGATAATTATTAAATGTTAAGGTATAAATCAGGTGGTGCCTCATTGCCCTGAGCGCTTGTCTCCTAGGGAAAAAGTGTGGGGGAGAATTTAGCACTTGACAGAGAAGACTTGCCCCTTTCACTGAATTTTTCACCATAAACAGAGTGAAAACCCAAGCTAAAGCCATGGCATTTATGTCTGACCACATATGCCTAGAATGTTCCTGAGGGATGCCTTGCTCAGAGCTGGGGCAGGGTTCTGTCTGAGATGCCCTGGGTAGCCTGTCCAGCCTGGAGGCAGGGAGGTTGATGCTGGGACTCTATCGCCTCTGTTATCACTGCTTCCAATCTAAGGCTGTTTGGGGCTTTCTGGGAGGAGGGTGGAGTCTGGGAAAGGGAATGATGGAGTGGATTCTTGCCTTCTACTAACTACTTGTGTATATTGAGAGGAGGCATGAATGGTGACCTCAGACCTCACCCCTTCTCATGCTTGCCTTTCCTGCCATTGTCACTACTTTGTCATTTGTCCTGGCCTGGCCTGGCTATCCGGCCCTGATTCTATTCTCACTTCCTCTTGACCACCTTATGGGGGGCCCAGGGAATAAGAAAGTCATCCTGATTTAATTGGTTGGGAAATCCAGCCACGGGGCGCCTGGGTGGCTCAGTCGGTTAAGCGTCTGACTCTTGGTTTTGGTGTCACTCTTGAGGTCGTGATCTCAGGGTTGGGAGATCAAGCCCCGAGTCGGGCTCGGTGATCAGCATGGAGTCTGCTTGAGATTCTCTCTCCCTCTCCTTCTGCCCCTCCTGCTCATACTCGCTCTCTCTCAAATAAATAAACAAATCTAAAAAAAAAAAAAAAAAAATCCTGCCACAACAGCTTCCCTCCTTGCTCAAGAGGAGAAGGCTTGGGTGGGAGGTGGTGGGAGTTTTAAACAGGGAGTGACTGGCAAGATCAGACCTACAACCTGGGAAATTGTGATAAAAGGGTTGGCAGGCGCAACATGACAAGAGGATCAGGTTTGGAAGGCTGTCGTAGTGTCCAGGGGACAGATGAGGGTGGCCTCGAGGAGAGACAAAGCAGTGGATGGGCTCCAGAAACATCAAGAAGGCAGAATCCATGTGATGAGGTGAAGCACTGGACATGAGGGATAGGGGAGAAGGAAGTGAGGGATGATATCTAGTGTACTGGCTCAGGTGTTTGGATGGGTTGTTTTGGTGTTTACCCAGAGGGCGAACACTGGGAGAGAAGCAGGGGTTGAGGGTTGGGGTGTTTATTGTTGGTAGAACTTGCTATCTATTTGCCAAGCCTTGAAAACCATGGGGCTCTGTGTGCCTGGAAGGAGCACCTCTTCCTAATTCACACCAAGGCACTATACACGTATAGACTGCAGCCACCGGAGTGGGACATCTATGAGATGTGCAGGAGTGGTTGTGTACCTGGAATAGATTTCATGAAAGACCCAGAAAGACCCAGAAAGGTGAGAGCTGTCACCACACAGATGGTGACTAAAGCCATGGTGTGGGCAGGGGACATGCAAAGTGAGAAGGATGAAGCCCCTTCACTCTTTTGATGACATTCCTTCTCATTGGCTTCAGCCTACCTGACATCTTGCCCTCACTCTCAGCACTGCACCCACACTGGTCTCTAAAGTGTTCAAAGCACCAGGATCGTCATACGCCACATTCCTTTTGCCAAACCAGTTCTCAACCCCTAGATTAGCTAATTCTCAACCTTCGAGTCTCAGCTCAATGGCAGTCTCTCCCCAGACTGGAAAAAAAAGTGCACTATAATCTCTGGAAACCCTCTGCACCTTTTCTGTACGGTACTGATCACGGGTGTAAAATTTTTTTTTCTTTTTACAGCTCTATTGAGGCATAATTTACATACCATAAAATTTGCCCATTGTAAGTGTACAACTCAATGACTTTTTGGTAAATGCTAAGTTATGCCACATCACCACAAAATTTCTGTCACTCCCCAAAATTCCCATGAGCTAATTGGCAAGCAATTTCCATTCCCACCTTTAACTTTTCTGGATATAACATATGAATAAAATCACATAAACAGAATCAGATAGTATGTAATCTTTTGCATCTGACTTTGGGCTTAGCACAGTAATTTTTAAGCAGGGGTGACTCTGGCCTCCAGGAAACCTTTGACAATAATTTGGAGATATATTTGGTTGTCACAACTGGGAGGGGGGTAGAGGCTGGGGATAACACTAAACATCCTGCTCTGCACAGCACAGGCCCCTACAACAGAGAATTAGCCAACCCAAAATGTGCCAAGGTTGAGAAACCTTGACTTAGCCTAATATTTTTGAGGTTCATCCATGTTGTAATGTGTAACGTCATTTCGTTCCACTATTCTACTTCCTGTCTCTATGAATTTGGCTATTCTAGGTATCTTATATAAGCAGAATCATACATATTTGTCCTTTTGTGACTGGCTTATATTTACCTAGCATTATGTCTTCATGGTCCATTCTAGTAGCCTTTATCAGAATTTCATTCCTTTTAAAGGTTGAATCTAATTCCGTTGTGTGTATACCACATTTTGTTTATCCATTCATCCATTGATGGGTTCGAGTTGCTTTTTGGGGAAAGGATTTGTTGACCTCCATGCTGCATCATTCTGGAAATGAATCTCCGCAGGCATAATTATACATTTATCTGTATATTACCAGATTAATGACTACCTCCCACATTAGACAAGCTCCATGAGTGGAAAAATGAGGGTTTTTTGGGGTGTTTTTGATCACTTTACCCCAGCACCTGGTAGTAGGCACTCGCTGAATACTTGTTGAATATATGAATATTTAAGGTATGGAACGAGATGACTCCCCCCCACCCCCGATCCATTTTAAGCAGGAAAAGTCAAGGACAAATGTGCTTTAGGAAGAAAAAGAATTGCCAGTATTTACTGAGCTCAGCTCCATGCCAAGCTTTTCGTTGCCTCACCCCATTTAATCCTTACAACAAAGCTTCTGAATGTAAAACGAAATCACATTTCAAGGCCAAGAATGGGAGTTAAGTTCTAAAGTTGTTAGCACAAAAGGCAAAAATTGGTATAATCAAAATGACCTAATCTGAACACTCACTCAAGTAAGATGCCTTGCGTTGCATGCTCACCTTGGAATGCATGCGTGGCCGTTGGGTGGAATGGTAGGGAATTTATAAACTACCCTTTCATCCCCATCACCTATGTTTGACTTGAAATTAGCTAACCAGGATGTGACTCCACTTGACTAGTTTCATCCACGCTTTAAGGATGAAGAAGCGGGGATGCGAAGTGGTACGCAGAGGGGCAGAGTTAGAGGCAGGGACACAGAAGATACCCAGGAGTCCTGGCAGGAAGTGGAGAGGGAGGTCTGGAATGAGGCAGGGGCTGGAGAGCACTGTCTGGAGCACGGACAGGATCGCGGTGAGGGCTGCTGAATCTTCGGGCAGCCGAAGGATAGCGGGCTGGACCCCATTCCACATCTACCTCTCATTCCCAGCCATTCCCCACCTGGTCAACTCACCTGCTTCGAGGGCTCCAGGTTCCTCAGCACAGTTCCCTCCGCGGTGCCTGCGTTGCTAGGTTACCCGCCAATCACTGAAGGAGGGACTCGGCACCTGACTGACTTTCCTTTTCACCATTCAATTTCTTGTTCCTCTCAGTTCGCCCCACCTCCTGAGGCTTGACCAATCAGAAGCACCGACCCTCTAACCCTCCACCAATTGAAAGACCCGGGACTCTCTCTGGGTTGGGCTGAACAAGCAAGGCGGGCAGGGTGGGAGGAGAAAGGGGCAGAGCTTATTTGTTCCGCCCCTTCCCAAGGAGGTGGGCAGGGAGTCCCGCAACAGCAGCGGGAGAGAACTGGGGAAGGACGTGAGGCTTGGCCAATCAGAGCCCATCATGCAGCCTAGGTAGCCAATAGGTCGCGGCAAAGGGGAAATGGGGCGGGGCCGGCGGGGTTGAAGGGACGGTAGGCGGTGGACCGGAGAGCTGGCGCAGCTGCTGTGGTGGCCGCGGCTGAAGTGGCGGCGCCTGCTGTGGCTGCAACAGCTCCAGGCTCGGGGCTTTGGTGGCGGCGGCGCCCGCGGGCTGGGCTGCGCGGTGCGGACCCCGGCGCGCGGTCCGGGTTGCTGGGGCGGCGCGTGTAAGAATCCGAGGGGTGCGAGCGATGGCCTGACGGAGAGGGCAGGGGTCAGGGGTCAGAGGGCGCGGAGTGAGGGGTTGCAGCTGTGCACGGGGCTGTGGGAGGCGGGCCCAGACGGGCTGCGGGGAAGTCATCGCCGCGCTTTTCAACCCCCAGCCCGGGCCGGGGCTTGGCGCCCGCTCTCCCGACTCCCGGCTTCCTGGGGCTACCCCCACGCAGGGGCCCGGACCAGGGCCGGGGAGCACGTGGACCTGGAGCCCGCATTCCTTGTCCCCCACCCCGCCCCGCCATCTGCTCAGCTCCCTGGCGCCCTGAGGCGCCCCACCCACGGAGACTCGTGCCCGGGTCACAGATGGCTGCTGGCCCGCTTTCCTGGGACCTGTCCCCACGGATGACCCTTCCCTTCTGGGTCCTCTGTGGAGGCAGAAGCGGAGCCCGCGGGAGGAGCTAGGACTCGGGAGTCCTGCGCTGTGTGACCTTGGGCAAGTCCCTTCTCCCCTCTGGGCCTCACTTTTTCCGCTCTGCAGAATGATGGGCTTGAATTCAAACGGGGGGGCCTGGTTCTGCCAGGAGGGAGAGGGTAATGGTTAAGTGGGGAGGGCCCCTGAATTCAGACTGCCCGCGTGAAATCTGGGCTCTCCTACTTGCCTGCTTATAAGTTAACCCCTCTAAGCCCCGGTTTTCCTCATCTGTGAAGTGGGGATATGAGCTAAATAGGATTTCTCAACAGCAGTGCTATTTGACATTTGAGCCACATATTTCTATATTGTGGTAGGTCTCGCCTGTGCATTGTAGGATGGATGTTTAGGGGCGTCCCTGCCCTCTGCCTATGAGCACCCCCACTCCCTAGTTATGATAATCAAAAATATCTCCGTAGGTTGCTGGTATCCCCTGGGGGGCAAAGTCACCCGGCTCGAGATCCACAGAGCTAAGATACTGCATGCATTGCAAGCAAATGGTCACGAATTAAACAGTTAAAATAAAAACCTCTAGCCATTATGATAACAGCAATAAAAATTTAGAAACCTCTTCTTGATGAGACGAGAATATTGATTGATTCTCTTGCCTGTAAAATACACATGGGAGAGGATGACAAGACGTTAATTGTCAAAGCTGAGTGATGGATACAAGGGAGTTCCTTTACATATTCTCTCTATTTTTGAGTATATTTGAAAACACCTGGTGGGAAAAGTTAAACCAAAAAGAGAATAAGTAAAACATATAATTCTTAAGACAGGCCAAATGGTAGTATCTCATTTGGGATTTCCTCTTTTGTCTCTCCATTATTGAGATTGCAAAGTAAAATTAATCCCCCGACCTGGGGGAAACTTAAAAAAAAGTCTTACAGGAAGTTGAGAGCAGGCAGCTACAGGCCTAGCAAACAGAATGATGCTCACTTGTGCTGCGTAGTTTTAAGAAGATATTGACGCATAGGAACTTGCTCTGGTGATGTGTGAAAGATGCAAATTGCCAGGTTGCCATTTAGTGGGTGAGTTTGGAGGCCGACTTGATTGAGCCCAGAAGGCCTCAGCTTGAGGAAGGAACCTGCTGCTGTTTTCAAGTTCAAAGGTCTGCTCTCAGATCTGCTGAATCTTTACTTTGCATTTGGTCCTGCTCAGCGGAAATGGGAATGTGTATAAATAGGAACTGTAACGGGGCTAGTTCTGAGTGTTTTAAAATTGGGAGTCCAGGATGAGCGCTTTTGCTGTGTGACTCTGGACGTCATTTTAAAAAATACTCTTCTCCTTCCTCCTAAAACACCAAAATCTAGGAGAATAATGCCTATATGAGAATGATATGGGCACGTGTAGGTGAGCTGGCACACTACCTCTACACGTCACTGAAGCTAGGTGCTACGTAAATACCAAGGCGGGGTCTTGGAGAAATTGTAGTGTAGTGGATAGGATAACAGGTCTGGAGCTAGACTGTGTAGTTCCCAAAGTTTGGCTTTCTAGCTGTGGGTTCTTGGGCAAGTTCCTTAATCTCTCTGAGCCTAGAGTCTCCCACTCTGTAACGGGGGCTAATAATCCTACTACTCTTAACGAAGTTTTAATCAGGTTTACTTAAAAATTGTTGGAAGAGCCCCTGGTACATAGTAAGTGCTCACTGAGTATGAACTACTATTATTTTAATGGTTGTATTTTTTTTAAATCTTTAAAATCTTCATAGAACACATAAACAAGGGTAAAGAGGGATGGAGGTAGAACATATTAGCCATAATCTCAATCTCCAGACATAATTATGCTTAAATTTTCAGTATTTGTTCTTACAGAGTCGTCCCCCCCCAATATTTTAATGCTATTACTGTAATACTCTTTATTGAGATATAATTCACATACCATAAAGAATCCACCGTTTTAAAAGGTACAGTTCAGTAGTTTTTGGTACATTTGCATGGTTATGCAACCATTGCCACTCTCTAATTCCAGAACATTTTCTTCAGTAGTGGTTGCATTTTGATAATTGTTTTTCTCTTTTTATCCCCCAAACCCTAGAAGATGCCTCTGATGGAGGAGTTTCTGAGAAGCACCTCTGGGCCAGTGGCTTTGAAAGGGAGCTCAAAGCAGAGACTATTTAAAGCTCTGAACATCGCATCCTGAGGGCTGCAGGAGAGGAGAGCATGGCCGTGAGTTTAGATGATGACGTTCCCCTCATCCTGACCTTGGACGAGTGTGGCAGTGCCCCACTAGCTCCCTCCAACGGCCTGGGCCAAGAGGAGCTGCCTAGCAGAAGTAAGACTGTGGCGTGCGCTGGGGACGGGGCACAGCTTTTCTGTTTCAGGGGGTGAGCTGTGGGCTTGGTGGTCTGGTAGTAGATGTGTGTATGCTAATGCCTGACCCTACATCTGACCCCTAAGTTCTGACACAAACTAGTGGGAGACCATGGAGTCCTCATCTTGCATCCCCAGCTTTTAGGGATGCTTCCAGGGAGTGAGGAGCCTGCCCTCCCGGGGCTCTCGCCTCTCTCAGGGCCTTACCACCCTTGCACTTGAGGTACCCTGCTTTGTTTGTGGATGCTTGTTGGGGACCTCAGGCAAATCTGCTCTTTGGCTAGCTTCCCTGCCCCATTCCGTGTTAAAAAAAGAAACCGATTTCAACACCAGCCTCTGTCCAACCTGAAACTCTTGGCGGGGAAGCAGAGATGACTGCTTCTCCACGGTAGAGCTCAGTCCCTGCATTGCCCAGGACGGGGTGGGACGGGGGCAAGCATTTGCCGTGATCCATTGATTTGAGGGTTTGGGGTTTTGCTTTGTCTTCCTCTTAAACCAGCGCCTAGCACAAAGTGAGCCCAAGAGAGGCGAGCTTTAAATTTTTTACATTTTAATTGTGTTTCTGGCAGAATAAGAGACCTTAAAAAGCTTTCTGGTTCTTGTCCCGGAGCCATTTCCCTCATAAGCCCAGGCCTTGGGTCCAGGAAACCTTAAAATAACTTTCATTTTGTGGAGGGTCCTAAGATGTCAGGGACTAATGCTTTAGGATCTCCTCACCAAACGGATGTTCCATCTGCTGGCCATGCTCCTGAGCCAGGACAGAGGGGTACTGCTGTCCTCCTGTTCACAAATGAAGACACTTGGGTCCAGGGAAAGACGAGCCTGGCTCTCCCGTCTCCTTTGTCCAGAGAGAACGCAGTTGAGTCGCAGGGAGCTCCGCAGCCTCCCCTTGGAAGTGACGAAGGACCGCAGTGTTCCTGTGGACGGGAGTGCCGTGGGAGGCCTGGCTCCCTATAAACTGGCCTCTCCTTTGCTTCAGCATGTTCACCCCACTTAGAGTGGTAAAGCTGGGTGGTCCAGGGAGGTCCGAATAGGAATCAGATTCTTCCCTAAGCGCCATTCAGGGCGGAGAAATCAGTGGCTCTGATTTCAGGCTCACTTCTTAAATGCCCTAGAGCTGGCAAGCTAAGTATTAGGCTCTTTCTTATCTGTTATCTTAACTAAGATCCTTTTGCAGGGTGGGCAGTATTATCCCTGTTTGACAGAGGAGGAAACCATGAGTCAGAGAGGTAAAATAACATGCCCAAGGTCACACAGCCAAGCAAGTGGTTGAGGATAGATTTGAACCCAGGACTGTTTGACTCCCCTCCCCCTCCTCCCTTTTTTGCTCTCCTGCTTCTCCTCCTTGTTCCATCACTAGCCCTTAGTAAATGCAGATACTAGCCCTTAGCATTTACATATATTAATCTCATCATATAACCTCAAGATAAAATTATTTTCTGTATTACAGAGGAAGAAACAGCCTCAGAGAGGTTAAGTAACATGTCCAAGGTCACACAGCTAGTAAGCAATAATGTCCCTCTAATATCCACCCCCACACCACTATGTAAGGTGCTTTGAAGAAAGTGATGTAAATGAATGTGACCTAGCCTCAGCTTCATTTTTTTTTTTTTTTATGTTTCATGTTATGAGTTGGGTGCTCAGCTATGAGTTGGATGGCACCCAGGCATCCCCCCTAGTCTCAGATTCAAAGTAGGATACTCCCTAGTGTGGAGGGTGGTCAGGTCCACTGCCAACAAGGGAATGGACTGCAAGGGTGGGCGGTTAACATACTAAGGGTGTGGATTATTCTGGAAGTAGTCAGGCTCAAGATTCTAAATTGGAATCCTGATCATTGTCTGGGTGCCTCTTTTAAGTCCTTCCACAGTATCAGAGCTGA